GGGTGCTGGAGGACTAAGCGGGGTGAAGGCTTCGTGGGTTGGTGCGCGACGACGGACTATCCGCATCAGAGAGAGAGAGAGAGAGAAAGAGGGAGCTGAGGTTGATTGACGTGGTTTTGGTGTTTCTTTTATCCTTTCTCCCTCCTGTCTCGTGTAGATAAATTTTGATTTCGGCTCCGGGCAGTTTGCCCGTTTTTCTATTTCTCGGAATTCGGACTTGGATTCTTGCTCGCACTTATCTTCATGATTCCATCTCAGATGTAATGTGTGCACGTTGTTCAATGAATGAATGTATGGATGCAATGTTTGGTCAGTTATCTTTCTGTCGGAATCCTTGCCTTTGCTTCTGATTGATGCACTTGTAAGTAGGATAGGAGTTTTTGCGCAATCAGCAATTCTGCTTTCGTTTTTTTTTTTTTTTTTTTGATCTCTTGATCGGGCTGTTGCGTTGGGTGCATCTTGCATACGCGGAGTGAACGCCGCACGACTTGATCTGCGCACTTACACGCGCTCCTGTGGGCCGACTCGTCAAATCTAAAAAAGAATTAGCGATTGCGGGGATATTGTCTGATCGAACGTGGCAGTTCTACGTCTAAGGGCGAAGCCATCGTCCCGTATAAGCACGAGTAGGTGCGGCTCAATTGCGAGGCCTGCACGTGCTTGCTTGAGGCGATCGCCTTCGACAAGGACCTGCCCTCAGGCACCTTGTAGCTCGGCGATGACACAATGACACGATCCTGGAATTCAAACTCATTATACGACCCGGATTACTTCACCCCTTGGATAAACAAACTCCTCAGACAGAGATATCCCTGCCTAACCGAGAACCGACTGTGTCCTCGGGAATTCCACTGCGCCACCACTAGCAACCTCGGTGCTCTGATTTCCCCTCTCCGGATCATACCTACTACTTCATCCACCCCGGATTTGTCGTTATCACCACCAGTTTCCCTCCCTTTCGCCTCCTCCTTCCATATCACCAACTCAGCGTCGTCCCGTGGACAGCCATAGCCTCATACTGGCCCAGTACGCCCTGCGAAAACTGTCGACGACATGGCGATCAAAGGACCCCGGAATCCCGGAGGCACAACCCAAACACGCGACGGTCGGCGCCACGTGGCAACTCCTGACGGCCTGAATCACCGGAGCCCCATCCACCCCGAAGGGACCCTCCCGCAAACCGCCGTCCCCGAAATTAATGCCTCGCCCGACCCTGAGCAACCCACACGTACCCTCTGCTTCGTGACCAAAGGCGATCCGCCCTCTCCGCCAAATTGCACTCCTGCCCCCGAAAAACCCTGCCATAGGAGATCTCAGTTCTGACCTGGAACTCCACTTTCCCCAAAAATCCTTGGCACACCCCTTTTCGCACTTCCAGGCCCACATCGTACTCCGATCAGGAAGTCGCGCTGGGCGTGAGGTTGCTATCGAAGCCCGACACGTGGCCGGGTTTTAGGATTAACAGCACACTAATTGGGCGATATGGCTAACCGAGGGCGACCTCGGCCCTGGAATGCGCATAGATGCGACCCCATCGTTACCCGAAGCAGATCAGTTAATCGACGGGCAACCAACATGGCTGCTAATGAACTGAACCCGAATCTGCAGCAGAATGCTAACCAACCGAATCCTAATCAACCCGCCCCACGAGCACGGGCTCCCATGACGCCACCTGATCTCTATCTATTTCATCCTGCGCACCACCTTGCAGGAGCATGGTTGGCCACGCTCCGAGCACATTAGCATAACGATAACGAAGCTCAGGTAAACATCCTCGCTCGATTAGGAGGAGACACTCATCACTAGTTCAGTTCCTATGTATGGGTAGATCTTCAGACCTTCGAACGAGACTTTCTGAATCGATTTGATTACGTCCACCCAGAGCAAGCGCTTTACATGATCAAGGACCGAGTGCAAAAACCTCTCGAATCCGTTGCAGAGTATCGGAACTGGTTCTACCGAATGCTTGTAAAAACTGAGCGAGGTGAGCAAGTAGGGAGAGATATGTTCATAGACGGATTCTGCAGTCGAACAATAAGGGCGAAGCTGCGAAAGCAGTTTTTCCCACTCAATCATACGCTGCAGCAGATCATGGCCGCTGCAGAAGAAATGGAACGGAAGTTTGCGGCGAACTTCCTGGAAGGAAAAGACTATTCTAGGGAAGGAGATTCGTCTGAACTCGCAAGGGCAAAAACCGAACTGGCTGCGATGCAAAACAAGTTCGAAAACATGGGGTTTGTGTCGGATCTTGTCACTTACATGGAACAGGTAGCCCATAAACGACCGATTCCAAGTGAGATCCCGAGTGCCCCTGTTCCTGTGATGCCGACGCCTATACGAACGGAACCCCTGCCCCCAATTGAGACTCCCGTACGATCGAATGAATCTACTGCCATATTCGAACTAACCAAAACATTGATTAGTCTAATCTAGGAAAGCAAAAAGGAACAACGGGAGCATAACGCTCGATTGGAAGCTATGATGAGGAACATGCGGCCCATCGCAGTACGCGCCCCTCCAATCCAACAAGGGTTGGCCCCGACGCCTGCTCTCGGGGGAGCCGCGAACAATCAGAATGTCTGTTATGCATGCCATCAGCCAAGACATCTAGCGCGTGACTGCCCCCACCGACCCCCGCAACAGCAGATCGGGATCGCACCAATGGCAGCGGCCCCCATCGCTAACGGACCAGGGAGGGTAGGTGTCCTCATGGAAGAGATGGAAGAAGTGGGAAGTGCGTTAGCAACCACGGAAGAGGCTGCTGAGCTCATTCCAGTAGATCAGTATGTTTCGCTTGGTTATCCGGGACTTGGAATGATTGGAACAATCCGACCTGCCCCGGAACAGAAGGAGCTAGCGGAGTGGTGACGTTCTTCCAAAGAGATGGAGTCGGGAGGACCCACCTTCGTCATTGGGGAAATTGATGTACTGAACATCATCCGGGCTTTGGACCATCGGATTCCACTCCCGATCGGCCATTTGCTCTCGATCTCTGAACAAGCTAATGAGCGGATGTTACAACACTGCAAGGCGAATCGGAAACGATTCGTTCTTGCTCGAACACCAAACATGAAAGCTAAAGGCCCCACGCCAGACGAAAACGTGGTTGGCACGTCAAATCCAATACGGGTAGGACTAATACAGAAAGACGATCATTTTCTAAGGATTAAACCCATCCCCTGGAAATCTGTGGAATGCGACATCAAAATCTAGGGCATTCCGTACAATGCAATCATCGACTCGGGAGCCGCTGTTTTGGCTACCTCGCTGAGAGTATTTGAGAGGGCAGGTAGGAAAAACGACCTGATCATGCTTTCGGAAAAAGATCAGCTCGTATCGGCAGATGAAGAGAAGATTAAAACGGTGGGAAGAATGACCAATGTCGCTTTCCGATTGGGAAAGGTGCATGCACTGGGAGATGTCATGGTGCTGGATGTAAATACCTACGACGTTCTTTTCGGGCTTCCCGCTCTTGTGGCATTACGAGCGAACCTGGATTTCGAGCAATGGTCAATCATCCTCTGAAATACGGGAGGAAAGCCCTATGTCATTCCTATGAGACTAACCCTTCGTATTACCATCAATGCAGTCTCGCGAGTTTCGTCAATGATGGTGGGGACTCTTCGTGTGATCACCTGGGAAGACTCCGCATACGATGAGCCATCATCAAAGGATGCGGACAACAGCGACGAAAACGACCCGAAAATTCTAAGGCTGGCGCGACAGCGCATTTATTACCTGCCGCCCAAAACAATCGCGAAAACATTGCATCTAACCAGTCGGAATATCCGAAGAACCAGGGCAATGATTTTGGGTGAACCCCTCGTTTAGATTTCGAGGATGGTCGATTCTTTGGAACCCCCTCAAACCCTGTACGAAGGAATCTCCCCTCTCCTCGCCCGATACAATGACAAAAAGCACTACTGCGATATTACAGATCTACCAAAGTCACTACTGATACCCGCAAAAGAAGTACGATTGTTACGTCTAGTGGCGGAGGCTAGTTCTTTGGAATCCCCTGGGCGCCTCGAGACTGAATCAGATGAACTCGAAAACAAAATTGCAGCTAAAACCGTACCATGGCAGGATATCTGTGATGGGATAACTCCGGACGGACACGTGGCCATCTGGGAGGAAGATGCCTAAATGATGGTCACAGTATTCTCCTGGCGATCGGACCATTTGTTTATCTCTGCACCACCGCCCGATGTTGCAAAACAAGCAAGCATGAAGGTGATCAACGTATGGATTAAATTTTGGGATCAGCTATTTGAGTTACATGTCCCACAGTACGTACCTTACGAGATTCACTGTGTGATTGTAGACATTCTAGTAGAATATCAAGGAGCGATTAGCGTGACCGACACTGACATTGACTTGTCATTGGTTATCCAACACGAAATTCAAACGTGGAATCATTCCCCCATCCACTGCAAGCCTTACCAATACTCCCTGATAGAACGGAAAAAGGCTCTCAAACGAATTCGCGAATTCGAAGCAAGCGGGTAAATCGATCCTGCCACCAGACCATGGTCATTTCCAGTAGTGTTTGTACGGAAGAAGAACGAATCAATTCGCATATGCATCGATTATCGCAAGCTGAATGAAATCACGATTAAGGATGTGTATCCCCTCCCTCGGATTGATGATTTGCTGGATGTGATTGGATGCGCTAATTATTTTAGCAAGTTTGATATTCGGCATGGCTTCCATCACATTCTGGTTAAGAAGGAAGATCGGTCGAAGACGGCCTTCGTATTGTTTGAAGGCACGTGGCAGTGAATTCGGTGTCCGATGGGGATTTGTAACGTGCCTGCCACGTTTCAGCGAGCAATAAACATGACATTCCTGAACGTCGTCAACAAAACGCGATTAACTTAGGGAATGGTTAACTTCTGCGTGATTGTGTACATGGACGACATCCTCGTTTACTCGGAGACCTATCACGGACATGCCCAACATATTGAGTGGACGCTGGGAGCGGTGAGAGACGCTGGGTTCAAGATCGCACTCGAAAAAAGTGAATTCTTCCTTTCGGAAATCTCGTTCTTGGGCTACGTCGTGACACGTGGAGGATTGCGGCCTGACTCGAGAAAGGTCGTGGCGGTGAAAAAAAACCCTGTTCCCACGTCACTGGCGCAGGTTCGAGCCTTCTTGGGGTTGGCTTCAGACTATCACCATTTCATCAAAGGCTTCGCCACGATTGCACGGCCGCTAACGAATCTGTTTCGAAAGGATCAGCCTCTCAGTTGGGACGCGGAGTGTGAATAGGCCTTCACAACCCTCAAAGATGCTCTGGCGACGGTACCTATTTTGATTCAACCGGACCCCTCAAAACAATTCATTCTTATTACGGACTGGCAATCGGAAGTTATTTTCGCTATTCTAGCCTAGAAGGGGAACGATGGTCACGAGCATGTCATCGAGTATGCATCGCGAACGGTGCCAAACGAGCGGAGGAATGACTCAGCTCCCCAAGGCGAATGCTATGCAGTAGTCTGGGGAATCCAACACTTCCATCCGTATCTCTACGGGAAGAAGTTCCACCTCGTGACAAATCATGAGCCCCTGCTGGCTTTAAAGAAGCTCACTAATTACACGGGCATGATTGGACGATGGGCGGTACGACTACAGGAATACGACTTCGACATCGTCCATCGGAAGACAGAAAGGCACGGCAACGCGGACGAACTGACACGTCTGCATCGGCCCGCTGAAGTACCGAAGGGCGAGGAAATCACCCCGTGAAAGGAATCAGAACCGGCAAACGAGCCGAAATACGGACAAGTGGCAGTTCTCCCACGTGGCACGAAGCAGACCGGTGGTAATGGGTGTCGGAGGTAATCTCACTAACCCTCTTTCTCCCATCTCCTCTTCGTCTAGTATCTCCCTTCCTAATAAATTTTGCTATTTTTGCGAAGCAATTTCTCGCGTATACTCTGTCTCCATGTGTCCTAACGGGGAAGGGTATGTGAAATGGATAGACTGTCGGTAGCGTGTCGCATGAGCCCATGGCTCGTGCATCTAATACCCAAGCAACAGTAAACCATGGTTATGCCCCTTGTCTCAGGTTGACAAGATCCTGATCGAGGCTCGCTTTCTGGACGCCACGTCAGAAGGGTTGGAAAAGACCCGGAAATTTCGAAGGGTCGAAGTATGGACCGACATCGCTCTGATTGTTACCTTAGTCGGTAACCCCCTCCATAATTTCACCAAAGAAGATCGGAGGAGGGCTAACGAAGGGCTCGAGATTATCGATGGATAGGGGGTAGGTTAGAAAAACGGAAAACGGACGGCAGTGAGACTTGGATGGTTGTACCGCATCCATTCATGAGGTACGACTGGGTGAAGACGACACATGAGGAAATGGCAGCCCATATTGTCATACGGATTGCAGAGTCAGCAATTGACAAAAATGAGTGGTATTGGTCCAATATTCGGGACGATGTGAAATTCATCGTCGCGAGCTGTCAAGTCTGTGCTGCTGACAAGGCGCCGATCCAACCGCCAACTTGGTCATACAGTAGTTGAACGGCCGTTCCAGAGGGTGAGTATAGATACCACCGATATTGTGGTGCCTCCTGGTCCTAATAGTTGTGAATATTTAATCCTGTTGGTATTTATCGGGCATTCTTCGAAATGGATCGAGGCCTACCCGTGTCGCACGCGACAAGCCGCCGAAATTGCACGGTATGTTAACCGTTTTCTCGGGATGCACCAGGATACGGAAGAGATCGTGACCGATAACGGGGCATAATTTAGAGGGGAAGTATTGAGGAACCTGGTCATACACTGTGTCACTGTGCGGAACACCGCACCCCATATGTCCCAATCCAACGGGTTAGTAGAAAACGTAAATAGGGTGATAAAGACAGCGCTGCGACGAAACATCGCGGCACTGGACCCGAGGCCCTGGCCCGATATCGTCGACCACATCCTAGCGGTCCATCGCGGAACGCCCCACGAATCGACAGGCCTGAGCCCCTTCCAATTAAGGACCAATAACGTCGCTTGCGTTTCGATACCAAGCCTCCTCGACGAATCAATGCTCAACCGACGGCCCACGTGGGCCACAACGCGAGACAAGGCCAAGCGGCACCTAGAGTTAATGGAACGGTCCCTCCCCAGGTTAGCCCAAAAACGCCAGAAAATGACCAAGTTGGCCCATGACCGACAGGTCCGAAGCCACGAGGCACGAAACGGGAACGCAGGTCCGGGGCCCCAGTACAAATTGGGGGACATCGTGCAGGTAAGGAATTGTGCTCGTCAAGGTAAGCTAGCACCACGATTGTTCAGGCGATTCCGCGTGATCGACCTCGGACTGAACGACGTGAACATCGTGCAGCTTGCGCCAGAGGTCTCCGGCAGCCGATCGGCTCGTCGGATCATCCGCCACGTGTCCTACCTTCGTCCCCTTCCTCCTTCCCCATCTTCTCCTTCATTTGATTCCTCCTCCGCGGCGGAAGAGGACGATGACTGCTTATCGCCTATCTCTCCGTCCCCCTCTCGTTCTCTTTCCATTACTCCGTCTCCACCGCCATCGCCAAGTTTTTTTATGGAGCGAGCTCTCGACAATTCTCTGCTGGTGCCACGGTGTCACATCTCGGCGATTTGACAAATTCATCATCCGCGGCTCAATCCAGATCTTCGGCGACTTGCACAGTTCTTCTGTACCCAGGGAGTGTACGCGACTGCTGAGTTTCGTTTTGCGGGAAGTCCCCGGGCGATTGTTTTAGCAGAAGCGGTAGGAGTTCATCGGCGATCGGCTCCGGGAATCTGCCACGTATCTACGGTGGTCGCCTTCAGCGGTGACATCAGCACCATCGGCCCGTTGCGGCATACGGCTTATCAAGACGACGCTCCGGCTGTGGGCACAACAGTTGGCAGCGGAGTGGAATTATTGGCTCACGCCCCACGGAGATCCCTGCCAGTGGGCCGAGTACCTCGAGCTGCTCATCATCCAGGCGTGGCGAACGAAAGTGGAAGGCGATTTGCTCGGATTCCTCTTTAGATCGGTGCGGCAGATCACCGCCAACCGATCACGCACGAGTTAACGATCCCCCTCGTGCAGCTGGCCGACGATCTCCCTCTTGAGATCGTCTCGCAGAGCGATGACATCCCGGTCCCGCACGTTCTCACGCGGACCTTGGCGCCATATCTTCAGTGTTCGGCGTGCTTAGAGGAACCAGGAAGCGACCGCAACCCACCATCACAGCGTGGGTATCTGGACCCGCACGAAAAAGTCGACCTCGTCTTCTTCCAAGATCGAACAACTTTCGAGAACGAGGAGGAAGAAGAGCAAGAGGACGACGAAGAAGAAGAAAACGAGGAGGAGTATGAAGGATTCGAGGAGGAAGTGCGCGACGAGGCTCGGGCGCAGGCCCAGGCACGGAAGAGGGAAGAAATCGCGGTCGGGAAGCGACCATTGGAATTCGCCAGAGCAGCCGGCCAGCCGCTCACCGACGATCTGGTCCGGGACCCACAGCCGCCTAAGCCCAAGGATGGAGAGACAGCTGGCGAGACTTCGGCCGCACCAGCAAGGCGGCGACGGAGCAGATCCCCCTCCCCCTCCACCACCGACCGCCCATCAACTCGTCCATGTATCGATGCGGGGCATCGGGCTTCATCCCCGGTCCTTATCCCGCCGTCCCCTTGATCACCTCTCCTTTCGCCAAATCACCACCCGCGTCACCTTCCCCGCCAATCCTTTCCCCATCGATACCTTCCGCTTCTTCTACACTACCCGTCTCGTTGTCATTGTTCATCCCCACCCTTCCACCCGATGGGCCCGACCTGTCTTCTGCCTTAATATCCTTTTCCTTAGTGTCGTGTGGCGAGGCCACAATATGATCGAGGTATACTGCATGATTACGGGGACTATCCCCGCATGCGAGAACCACGATCGCTTTCGAGCGGTCCTCTTTCGAACCTTCACCACCCTCTACCCTGACTACCTCGCGTCCCTCCCCCACACAGGTAACCGATTCCCCCGCTTCCACTGGATCGTTCGTTATCAGGAACTTCCAGAGACGGTGGCCGGAATGGAGAGCTTCCTTCCCCCGTTACCTATCAACCCTTCCCCTCACCACCCCTCCATGTACCGCCTCCCCTTTCCCCTTCCCGACGCTCGCTGATGTAGGACAGATGGGCACGCATCATGACAACGACACGTGTAATCCCCTACTTGGATTGTTGATGGCCCTCCCTGAGGAATTAGTAGTAGAGTTGTGTTGCCACGATTGGATGACGTCCACACTCCTTCGAACGGTAAGTGGCATAGAAAGAAGGGTTCCTCGTGTCGACCGATTAGAGCGATCGGCACGGGTCAACAAGCAAGCAGGAGCTCGCTAATATTGGAACCCCCTGGGCGTCACATATGTGATGAACCACTTTCTGTAGCGCGCGATTTTCTGCGCGGTTGCAACGAGGGGTCCTAAGCTGGGAAGGTTGGGCCAATCACGGGAGATTGGGGTGAATGCGAAATTGCATTAGTGTCCTCGTTTCTTTGTCGTTTTCGTCGCCTCTTTTCGAATGGTTGGGTTCGGAGCCGGGTGAGTCCCGGGACGATCGATTGATTGATTGGCTGTGTTTGCGGCGCGCCGCCAAGCGCACGATTAATAAATGTTGACGTCATTTCTTTTTGGTTCGGTTTTGGAACTTTTGGGCGCGGACATCGCGTGGGAATTTGCTTCGTTCTTTTTGAATTCTTTTTCGAATTTTGTCGAGCCCCGATGACTCTCGGAATTGCGGACTTTCCTTTCGGAACCTGTACTTTTGCTTTTTCACATTAGTTAGGAATTTAGGAATTTTGTAATTGGGACTTTCTTTTGCCGCGCGGCGCCTTTTTGCTTACGCGCTTCCTTATGCAGCTACAACGGAATTCTGATTAGTCGGCGCCTTTAATCGGGTGTGTAACTGTAATCTTGGGTTGACGCCATTGTAACTGTATCTTTCTTCTTGCGCTTCGTCTTTTCCGCCCTCCCCCTTCTCTTTCTTTTGCTGCATGTTTGTAGCTACAAACTGCATGCTCAGATCGATGCGTGGAGAGTGGCTACGTACCCCACGCTGCGGCCCGGTTATGCAGAACGCAGACACTCCCTCTCTAATCTCCCTCCTAAGTCCTGGTAATTCCGTGTTCTTCGCGATTGCATGCACACTATAAAATTCGGTTGCGCGATTAGTTAGCTCTCTTAACCAGCAGATGGAAGCTCGGGGTTGCGCGATCAGAGATGGTCAGCACACGAACGAAGTAAGAGGTGAGTAGAGCAGGAGTCGAGCGACCCGACGAGCTGGTGCCAAACGCACGGGGTTGACGCGGGCCACGACGGACTGTGGGCGCCAGCGAACCTGATGGGTGCTGGAGGACTAAGCGGGGTGAAGGCTTCGTGGGTTGGTGCGCGACGACGGACTATCCGCATCAGAGAGAGAGAGAGAGAGAAAGAGGGAGCTGAGGTTGATTGACGTGGTTTTGGTGTTTCTTTTATCCTTTCTCCCTCCTGTCTCGTGTAGATAAATTTTGATTTCGGCTCCGGGCAGTTTGCCCGTTTTTCTATTTCTCGGAATTCGGACTTGGATTCTTGCTCGCACTTATCTTCATGATTCCATCTCAGATGTAATGTGTGCACGTTGTTCAATGAATGAATGTATGGATGCAATGTTTGGTCAGTTATCTTTCTGTCGGAATCCTTGCCTTTGCTTCTGATTGATGCACTTGTAAGTAGGATAGGAGTTTTTGCGCAATCAGCAATTCTGCTTTCGTTTTTTTTTTTTTTTTTTTGATCTCTTGATCGGGCTGTTGCGTTGGGTGCATCTTGCATACGCGGAGTGAACGCCGCACGACTTGATCTGCGCACTTACACGCGCTCCTGTGGGCCGACTCGTCAAATCTAAAAAAGAATTAGCGATTGCGGGGATATTGTCTGATCGAACGTGGCAGTTCTACGTCTAAGGGCGAAGCCATCGTCCCGTATAAGCACGAGTAGGTGCGGCTCAATTGCGAGGCCTGCACGTGCTTGCTTGAGGCGATCGCCTTCGACAAGGACCTGCCCTCAGGCACCTTGTAGCTCGGCGATGACACAATGACACGATCCTGGAATTCAAACTCATTATACGACCCGGATTACTTCACCCCTTGGATAAACAAACTCCTCAGACAGAGATATCCCTGCCTAACCGAGAACCGACTGTGTCCTCGGGAATTCCACTGCGCCACCACTAGCAACCTCGGTGCTCTGATTTCCCCTCTCCGGATCATACCTACTACTTCATCCACCCCGGATTTGTCGTTATCACCACCAGTTTCCCTCCCTTTCGCCTCCTCCTTCCATATCACCAACTCAGCGTCGTCCCGTGGACAGCCATAGCCTCATACTGGCCCAGTACGCCCTGCGAAAACTGTCGACGACATGGCGATCAAAGGACCTCGGAATCCCGGAGGCCCAACCCAAACGCACGACGGCTGGCGCCACGTGGCAACTCCCGACGGCCTGAATCACCGGAGCCCCATCCACCCCGAAGGGACCCTCCCGCAAACCGCCATCCCGGAAACCAATAGCTCGCCCGACCCTGAGCAACCCACGCGTACCCTCTGCTTCGTGACCAGAGGCGATCTGCCCTCTCTGCCAAATTGCACTTGTGCCCCCGAAAAACCCTGCCATAGGAGATCTCAGTTCTGACCTGGGACTCCACTTTCCCCCAAAATCCTTGGCACACCCCTTTTCGCACTTCCAGGCCCACATCCTACTCCGATCAGGAAGTCGCGCTGGGCGTGAGGTTTGGGAGTCATAGTGCGGCGAGGCCCATATTTGGTGGACATAATCCAGCGGCCTAGCTCAGTTGGTAAGGCACGCAATTGGCATTCAGGAAGTCTTGGGTTTAATCCCCATTGGCCTCATGTACCTTCTTGGGCAAGCTTGGCGCCCGCCACCTAGAGATATGCCGTTGGTCCCCCCGAGTGGCATTGAGCAGAGATTGCTGATGTTCATAGGGGGAGTGGACCGGAGGGGAGGCACAGGGGCTCACCACACCACTCTCGAATCTCAAAAATATTCGAGAGCTGTCAGGATTTTTCGAGAGGCCGGTTTTCGAGAGAAAATGGCCCTTTGCCACATAGCACACTAGACCGGCCTCTCGAAATGGACAAACTCGAGCGCGGACGGGCGGCATCACGAAAAACGGCCTGACAACTCTCAAAATGGACGTCGAACTCGAGCGCGGAGGGGTGGTATCAGGAAAACTCCAACGCTGCAGGCTGGGCGAAAACATCGTTTTCAGAGGGCACTCGAAAACGCCTTTCTGACAGCTCTCGAGCAGTTTCGAGTTTTTTTTTCGAGCCATGCTGTGTGGCGGTGCCCAACTCACGAATTTTCGAGATTCGAGGGTGGTGTGGCAAGGCCCACAGTGACTGGCCCATCGAAGAAGCTCGGTCCTGATGCTACAGGCTGACCCCTGGCCGGTATCGCCCACCTGCTGTAGGAGGTATCGCACCTGCTTGTGGGTGCAGCTCCCGCATGTTCCCTCATTGGAGGCTGAAGCACGGATGTGGCTGCTACGGGGTTCTTCTCTCTCTCTGCCTACGGTTTACCGGGCAGTTCTATTTGTGACGATATATATATATCTATATATATATATATATATATATATTTGGCGATATATATATATTTGGCGGACACTCTGCAAATTCATGATTTATTGATTTTTGCGGCACCCTGCCGTTTAACGATAACAATTACCAGCCGCTCGGTCTGTATGCCCACGAATTTTTGAAATGAAGCCCGAGGCTCGAATCCTTCGAGGAGAAACAAACAAACAAAAAGTAAAACAATCGCATTGCGGCAGTGGAAGCGGGCGACAAAAGCGGGTGGAATGGAGAGGGAACTGGTGCCGGATGGACGTGAGGCCAAATTCACCGCGTGGTACAAGTCCCGCCATACTTGTTCAATGCTGACCGTCCCTTTTGAAGATCGAAGGGAGGACCGCACCATCCGTCGAAGTGGGGCCTGGTTCTCGGGAGTGAATCTTCGGCTGCATCGTGGAAAGATTCGTTCGTATATTGTTGTCTTGTTCACATGCGGAGAGTGGTAGAGCGAGGGCCCACGCCTCTTTTTAAAGACTGAAGAGATAGAGCGAGGGCAATTTGCAGGGCGTAGGAAGATAGCTGCCGCGGACGGTTGCGGGGAAAACGGTTGTGTCTGGGGTATGTGCCGCAAGCGGCGGAGCGGCGGAGTCGTTAGCAAGGGGAAGGGGGGGGGAAGTGACGGGAAGAAGGGACCTGCAGCGCCGTGACCCGCATCTTCGCGCATTCGATTCCCTCGGCCATCGCCTTGTGTTCCGCATTCTCGCGGATCCGCTTCTCTCTCGCTGCCGTAGCTTCATCCTGCGCCTGCGCGTTTGGTGGGAGCGCAGGGTGGACGGGCGGTCAATCGCAGGAATACGGTGCAGAGCGGGGGGTGGACGGGTTCGGTAAATCGTGCGGAGTACGGCGCAGAGCAGCGGGTGGACGGGCGGAGCGACGAGCGTGCGTAACGCTGCCGGCTGGAGGATTGCGCGCATTGCGTCCGAAGGACGTCACTGGTTGTTTCGTATGCTGTGCGGATCAAGCGAGGGCCAAGTCAAGTAGGCGACTTTTGGAAGAATCAGGGTCGATCGAGTTGATTGATTAGTTGATTGATTAGTTGATTGATTAGATGATTGATTAGTTGATTGATTAGTTGATAGGTTAATTGTGAGTGCCAGTCAGATGCCCTGGCTGCGAATGGTGATCGAATGGTGATCGGCTCGAGACCTATGAAAGTCATGTGATTTCTTGCGTGTCGATCTGTGTCGCTACACAGTGTCCGAGTATCGACGGCAGTGTCGCACAAGTCACTCCTTTGTTGGGCTTGAATTACAACTCCTCTCCTCTCCTGTCGTACTGTTCTCTCTGTCTTCTCGATCTCTGAGCTGAGGTACACCTTTCACTCCTCAAGTTCCTTGAAAGATTGCTGCGAGTGCGCGCGCTTGGGAATTCCACTCTCCCTTACCAGGTGGCCGACCCTATCGGAAGTTTCTCCCTATCAATCATCATCATCCTCATCCTCCTCAGATTCCGCACTTTCTTATAATCATACCGATACAAGGACGAGGTTGGTCCCTTTCTTATCGATAGTATCCCATTTGTTTTCTCTTGTTCAATTACCTCTTCTCAACTCGTTCAGCCTCTTGTCCATCGGCTATTGGTTATTGGCTATTGGCTATGGGGTATTGGTTACGAGGTTGATCACTAACGATCACTTATCATTCTTGTGATTGTTTGTTCATTGATAGTTCAATTAGCTACTATCAATCTCTCCACGCTGTTAGCTATCGGCTATTGGCTACGAGGTTGATCCCTATCATCGATCACTCTAGGCTCTTGGCTATCGACTATTGGCTATCGGCAATTCCCGATCTAATCAGTCTTTAGGCTCTTGGCCATTCGATCTTCCCTATCGGCGATTTTCCGTCTAATTGGGTATTGGCTTTTGGCTCTTGGCTCTTGGATATTCGCTCTTGGCCATTCGATCTTCCCTATCGGCGATTTCCTGTCTAATTGGCTATTGGCTCTTGGCTCTTGGCTCTTGGCTATTCGCTCATGGTCATCGGCCCCTCCCGATCATTACAGAAGTTTAACAGAGACAAGCCGCAGTCCGCTAGAAATACTCGAGGAACAGCTTTTGCTAATAAGTCAGTATACTCCTCGTCGTTGATCCGCTAGTCAATGAGGGCAGGGAGTTGCTCGTCTTGGCTATCCCGCCTTGTGATTTGATGGTCCAAAGTCTCTTCTACTGGAAGGTTCGTCAGCGCAGTCGAACGCCTTGTTCTGGACTCTTCAGCTTCGCAGCTTTGTTGCTTAATTGCCTTGGAGCGATTGTCGAATTTTTTCTAAGTAGAGCTTGTGACGGTCTGTAGGTTGGATGCACTCGGCCTTCGCTTCGCATTTGGTTACGAGTTCCATGCGATCCCGGCAGACAAGCGGTTGATCTGCTTCGAGCTCTTGAGTACGGCTTCAGAACTCCACTAAAAATGCTGGGTATATGCTATCTGTTTTCCCTACTTTTATACATACTTTATGCATTGTAGAGATTCATTGATACCAGCTCGCAGACTCTGTCGATCTCTGAGCTAGTCTCTATCGTTTACATTTGAATTCGGCAAAGATAGATAGATAGATAGATAGAGAGAGAGAGAGAGAGAGAGAGAGAGAGAGAGAGAGAGAGAGAGAGAGAGAGAGATGATTGTCTTGTGTGCATTGTTATCTTTGCTGCAGAGTGCAGCAAAGGTCAGCATGGCTTTTATTGAGAGGAGGGCGTGGGATTGCGAGATCCCGACGGAAGAGGAGGAACAGGTGGGAAGGGCTGTTTACATTGGCTACTTGGGCACGTACTCTTGACAGGTGGAGCCTAACCCGTCCTCTGGCAAGCTGGGTGTCGGGTTTCGATCTGCCATTTAATCATATCCGTAACGAAGAAGAAGAAGGATCCTTCCAAGGGAGGCGAAACTTTTCTTCCTTCTCGCTTACCGGGGTTTTTCTCGCCGTCGTTCTGGCCGGATGCCGCAAACGACGCGAGTGTTCGGCACAACAGACCTTCTCGCTTACCGGGGTTTTTCTCGCCGTCGTTCTGGCCGGATGCCGCAAACGACGCGAGTGTTCGGCACAACAGAAGCTGTGCTGCTGTGGTAAAGTAACAGAGTCGCGTCGTACTCCCTCGAAAGTTAGTTTCGTGATCGATTGATTCTTTGATTAATCGATTGATCCCGAGATTACTCCAATGGATAATCAATAAATCAAGGGATCGAGGTCGGCGACCGACCTGTGCTTTGATTCCTGAGCCAATCGATAGATCGATCGATCGAGAGAGTCGGATCGTTCGGAATATACTGGTCGATCTGCGTGTACGCAGTTGGTTAATTCGTTCGCTGATCGACAGATCTACCGATCGAGACCGGAGTGAGTCACGATCCATTTGATCGCTCAGGACCAGCGGTCAATCTACGTATTTGAAAAGTGGGTCGGTTGAGTATTGAATCTTGATTACTCGGCTCATCAACAACTGACGGCTGTCGAGCGAGAACCGGCAGTCAATCTACGTATCCGATCGCTTGAAATCAGCAGTCGGTCTGTGTATTTGATTGGTTGGTTGATTGGTTCGTTGGGTAATTTACAGATCAATAAACGGAGAACCGATCTCTATCCGATCGCTCGAAATCAGTGGTCGATCTGTGTATCTGGTTGGCTGGTTGGTTGCCGCCTTGGGGGGGTCGTAGTCGATAGAACGAGGGATTGAGACCTGATCGATCCATTTGATCGAGAGCCTTATTCTATTTGATCGGTTGGTAATCAATCAGTCAGTGATCTTTGAGTGTTGGTTGGTTGGTTGCCTCCTCGTGGGGCGGCGGCTCTAATCGATAGAACGACGGATCGAAGGCGGCGGATCTAATCGATAGGACGACTGATCGAGACCCGATCGATCCGATCGACCGAGAGTCTTATTCTATTTGATCGGTCAGTAATCAGTCAATTCATCTGTGAGTACGCGGAAGGTCGTAGTAGATAAGTGAGGTCGTTGGTAAGTTTTAGTTGCCCGTGGGCGTCGAGCGGCAAGCGAGCGAACATGTTGGAGCTGTGTACGATTTGCGCAATCGCGCAACGGGCTACGAGGATCGGCGTGAAACTCGTAGAGAGTGCGGCAAGAGAAGCCGGGAGCCAAAGATCTTCGTCTTCATCATCCTTCCAGGGAACAGATCAGCCCCCTCCGGCGTCGCGACCCATTTACGTTGCCAGTGCAGGGTTTTCGTCGATTTACGCCCCCAGATGATGTCGCCACGACTGTACTCTTTTCTCCGCCTTCTCTCTTCGTGATGACAATGGTCCAAATGCACGTTCTCCTCCTTGTCATCATCATCATCTTCCTTCCGCCTACATTTGGACCATTTATATCACGAAAAGGAGGACGACGATGATGACAAGGAGGAGGACGATGATGATAATGGGGAGCCTGAAGGAGATGGTCTGGATTGCTCTTCATGGAGGGAAGAGGGGAAGAGTGGGGGGCTATCTGTGTGCCCGTCAGGAGGAAGGATCGTCGCGCGGGTGGGAAGCATGGTGCTGAGAATGGATGTGATGGAGGTTTGATCTGGAGTTTGTCGCTCTCGTGGGGAGAATTTCAATTGAGTGCTCGATGCCCGGCTGGTGGCGGGCTTGGTCGTTGTGGAGTGACTCTTCACGTTTATGGACGGAGACATGATCTTGCTTCTTCACCGAATGCTCGGTAGATTCTTCACTTCGACGTGTTCAGAAAATGGAGCCGGCTGTAGGGCCAGCGGCTTCGCTGCTGCTGATTGCCGGTTCGGTTGGTTTTGCTGGACATATGACCAAAAGGAGTTTGAAGATAAATCAGCAAGCGGCAAAAAAAAAAAAAAAAAAAAAAAAAAAAAGAGGCTAGAGGTCGACAAGAGGCATAAATGACCAAACGGGGCATAATAAATGGGAGCATAGCTCGACTGGCTGTCTCGTAAGTAGCTGCTCTCGCGAACGATGATGATCAGGGGAAACTGATGATGACTATGATGATGATGATGATGTTGACGATGGTGATGAGGTGGATGATGTTCATAAGTATGATTATCGCGAATCAGGATCTCGATCCCGACCGGCTGATCTCAAGGTTGCTACCATCCTAGAACGAGTGGTCGTACATGCGGTAAATAAAACACGTCATCTTGAAGGTAAATTGGAAGAGCCGCCGAGACGTCAACGAAAAGTTGAGATGGGAAATGGAGAGAGAGAGAGAGAGAGAGAGAGAGAGAGAGAGAGG